TATGAATGATGAGGTAGGGAAAATGCTAAGATGAGGAGAAACAAAGGAGAGGGAATTACCGTGGTAATAGCAAATGCGTCACAAAGGCCCTTTGCACGCATAAGTCAGATATCAAACGGCAAATGACAACTGCCCTCGGCAAAACGAAATATCCTTGGGCTTCGAATTTTGAGGATAACGCGGAAAGCTTCGTATTTATCAATGCAGTGTGTGGTATCCAGGAGATGTCGTGCCACAGTGCCTGTTGGAAGCTTTCCTCCTAGAAGTGACAAGTTTTTCGGAACATGCTCAATCATTCTGGTCGATAGCTGGTGTTCGGTCCTATCGACGTACCGCGAACCGCAAGTGCATTGCAAAAGATATGTTCAACTGCAGGTGGCTGCGTCGTTGGATCTGTCTATGTTTGACAGGATTAGTGAATTGATTGTTCTGTGAATCATGATCAGCTTCGCGGCGGAGCCAACAATATGTTTCTGTGGTAACTGTATTATAAGTAGTACGCGCTGAACACGAAATACGAATCACAGATTAGCAATCACGGACGAGGTATGACCACAATGGTACTTGCACGCGATATCCCACGTAACCGAGACGCGAGGCAAAGGCCACAGGAGTAGTAGTTCGTTTATTGAAACAAATCAAGGGGACTAAATAACATGTACGAAACAAATTCACTGGTCATCCAAGCCTCTGTTTATTGCGTGCTAGTATTTCTGGTGTTGTTCAGCTTCTGTCTGGGCTGTACAGTTTCTGATTGGTTGGTACAATAGACCTATGGTTTGTGGTCCCGAAGCTGTGACTCGTACGCGCATTGCTGACGTCACCTGGGAAGCTCGATTGATGACAGTTGTCCGAAAACTGTAACGTGTCGCTCCGTAGGCTAGGATCTTTACAGTTTCTACTGTCAATAGCCAATGCTTGACAATGACTGCGGTGTTCTTCGGTAAAAGTGGAAAATCTCACGTTGATTGTGGATGTATTTCACAGCACACAGATTGAGCGTAATCCCGTAACCAGGGTGGATGTACGATTGCCGATGAATAGATCTAAGCTAACTGGTAGTTTAGTAGGGGTAAGGAATGGAATTTGAAATACGAAAACCGATGAGCCAGACGTCTTTAAAATGTCGCACTATGTACGGTGAACTATTTACACGACAGTAATGGTAATTGTCCGTGAATGTAACATATTCCATTAATCGTTGCTAAATGTACTGCAGGGGAAATTGTTTCATTCAAGAAATTCAATCACAGGTAATTCCGTTTTAGTAAACCACAAAACCGACTGGAAATTAATGCATCACACTGCACATAGTTGGATAAACGGTGATAAAACATTTTCACGAATTGAGTGTATCAATGGAGAGAGAAAGATTTCTGGTTTATTTAACTGAGCTGTGGATAACTAATCCACAATCCACTGTTACAGAAGTGGAAGAGAAGCCTCTTCGTCAAATTTTGTTTCGTGAACTAAATGAAGAGAGACATCTTATTTGGGCTGACAATGCATTTGATTCTCTACGGTGACGATGCATCGAAGGTTTGATTACCATTATTGTCAATCAATCGACTAATGATTATTTATTGTTGAGCTTTTGTGACCTTACACAAGCAGAAATCAGACTCGATAATCCAATGTGGCAGTCCTAAGCCAATGCATGAACAAGACGGATTTGTCGTTCTCCAGCAAGCATCAAGGATCGATCGAATCTTTTCATGCATTAACCGTCTTGAATCTCTAGTGGCCAAGGGGGTCTTCTACTGTGCATAGCCGAGGTGACATCATGACCATCAGACGGCTGGACAACAAGTGTGAGCAAGAACGTGTTCAACATGTCAAATAGGTGTGATCAGACAGTCTCGTGGCAGATTAGGCGATGACAAGTGCAACTGGCGACCAATTGTCCAATCAGATTGTGAAACGGGTCACAGGAATTTCGTGTTGTGTGAGTACAGGGATGAGAACGAAAAGCAAACGTGGAACGAGTAAACAATTGAGCTGGACAAATTTGACGTGATCCACGAAGAGTATCGTGAACGGAATGATGATTAAGAATTGTTGAAACATTTACTCGCGTAAGTGAATTGTGAAACCTGGGTTTTTGATATCACCCTTCTGAAGAGCTGGGTTGTAAAATGATTATTTCGGGGACTATCTGTGCTTCGAGATGGCGTTGGAATAGATCAGAAAAGTTGATATGCATACTCAGATCAATCTGTGACTGAAATGTGTTCTGTTTAGCTCTTTTCGATCATTCCATGGAACCCGTGCCCCTTCAATGTGCAATGTAATTTTATATCTGTTTTACATTTTGAATCATGAAAATCCTCGTACAGTGAAGAAACACTGTCCGTTTGCTCTTGGTAAATATTGACAATTGGAAAGATGATTGAAATGACAAGCTGAATAATATCGTGAGAAATCAGCGCATCAATGTAACTCGCATTTCTCACACGTATTATATTTTAAACAAAAACGAAAGCTTTCATACTGTTATTTACTTAAATATTGGCTGACAAATTGCAAATTCATGTTCTCAACAAAAGGGTCAATCTATCATCTAAAACTTGAAGATCACATTGTCGTTTATTTCACCCAAGGATCAGTCACATGACCCGCTCGATTCTCTGCATAATTTCAAACAAGGACAATCAATGAAAACCCAAAACGAACTGGTCTAGATGGATAAAGCAATCCGTTTGTGTGGAGCGCTTTAACAGCTACAAAAACAAAAGAATTAGTGGGAATAAATACACTTTGGCGAAGACATTCAACAGTACTAATTACCAGATCAAGGGCCAATCTCACATTACCGTGTGGTAATCATTTGCGCTACCTACACACGTAGATACTAGTTAGAAATGACTCCCGTACGTGACCTTTCATACAGCGTGGTTCCCGCCTCAAACCAACTGATTTCCCACGTGACATTTCATCCCTTGTCATTGTCCCGCGCTCCGACACCGACGTTGTTGGGTTCAAACAACCAATGCGGTAGCGCACTGGCCACAGAAATCGACTCCTATCGGCGTCGTATCCAAACACTTCTTCATTTCTTCGACTGTATCGCCCAACACTGGTGGGATCATTTATACCCATACAAGCGCGATTTGATTAAACGTCCTAGCCGCAGTGCAGATGAAATACGTTCTTATCGCACACGTCTGGTTGCTCGACTGAACAAATTCACTATGCGCACAGTTGCACCCGCGGCTGCCGCTATTGCCATGATGGAAGCGCAAGCCAGTGTCAAAGTATTACCTCCCAATTTGCTCAGTCCTCTGTCCATGGACATGATGACCATGGATGTTCCAATAACCGGAGATAACGGAGCTGCATTACTAAACAAAGCTTGTAATCTGGCTCGTCGAATAGGCGATATTGAAAAGTTGAAACAACGTTTAATTTTGGCCGCACTGACCTGGATCACTAGTGACGGTCGCGATTTCAATCTGCGCACTCAGCGTATTGCACTATTAGCGCGGCACGCGGAACCATGTCTGATTGAACACTTTCCCGGGGTTCGTGCTCTACTCACCCACTACTATCGTCCGCGTGTTTTAGTGCAAAAATCGACCGGATCGGGGGCGGTGTATGCCACGGCCAAAACAAATACGACGCCACGCACCGAACCAATAACAGCAGCTAGATTGACAACTACTAACGAACAGATTGCTGCAGCTATTCAACAAGGCTGCCCCCGAATACGATCGACCAATCAATTGAGAACTATCGATTCGGAAGACAGGTCAGAAGAACTCCGTTCGCCGTTGGGAAACATAACACGACACTCTGTGTTGGAGCACCTGAGTCATACAGATGATCTATTCGGTAGCTTATCCAACTCGATGCACTTCCCACATGACATTTTAACTCTGACTGAAAGTAGTCCGATCCCGATGTTGCCGAGTATTGTGCTGAATCCATTATCCATCGATACAAGTCAACTTGACTGGCTTAGTTACGAAATCAATCAGCGTGATTTCAATCTACACATATTGAACAAAGAAGAACCGGAGGATGAATCGAATCGTTTCACGAGATCACCAGTGTCCACACCGATAAATCGTGTAAAACCAGTCGAAGATTCTGTACACAGTTCGGTGACATCGATCACAAAAAGCAACCGATCTCGCGTATCTGGTCCGGAAATCATGATATCTACGAGGGAAATTATGAATTTGTCACCGTCCGCAACTCGTTATCGAACGACCGTAGGAACACCGATTGCTGTGGGCAATTGGAAAATTCACGGCTGGTCCGGTAGCTCACATGATTCGGAATTCAGTGGATTAGATATTTCGTTGACCAGTTTTGTGGAACAAAAACCGGAAGAAACGCATCGTGCAGAGGATACCACCACTATCGGTGGAGCATTGGCTTCCTTACGCTCGTCAGATGAATTATCGGACTCCGGACGGACGCAAACTCCACTGACCGCACACGGTGAAGGTGCTGTGACACCCAGTCTAGCGAGTAAACACGAACACATCGAGACAAGTATAAAAGAATCCCCACCAGGGACCAAGGGACCACAGCTCGCAGCGAGAAATCTAACGGGAAAAGGTGAAGAGCCGTTGAATCAAATTCCAACCGAGAGGAAATCCACCGTACACCCGACCAATCAGTTGATGAACGCGAAAAAATTGCGAGCCAATGTGCATTGGCGGGTGAGCTCGAAACAGTGCACAACAGTCAATCAAATGCGAGTGATCAATTCGAAGATCTCAACTACGAACACACCGTTGACAGCGAAAGATACGAAATTCCCAAACGCAAATAATCCGCTTGTTCCGCCTCCCGTAGTCAATGGTAGCCATCGCAACCAGATGCCCAGTAGGACCCAGTTGCCCAACATGCGAGATAGAAAATACTCGCGATAAGAACATTTGTGTCATCTTCAACTGAGCTAGGAATGAAAAAGCAAAGCTTGGTTATTCGCTGATTGTTTTCTACTTCAAATTCCAATTTCAGTTCGGTCTGTTTCAACACACTTGTACGCATTCAATTTGGATTCGAGATATAAAACAAGAAATGGGAAATAGGGAAAGCACCCAAACCAGAACCGGGATTGATTAGAAAAGAAAACTGTGCTCGAGTTTTACGCTAAACACTATCAAGTGTCTGAACTCACAGTGACAGAAAGGTTTTCTATCGATTCTGATGCGATCAGAGCCAATCCGAGGGGGAAAAAGAGGCTTCGATGCAAGACAGATAGGAAAGAACAAGCAATTGGCCGAACACGAATAGGCTGCAACGATACTGTGACAGACTCCGATATATTATATCAATGAAACTTCGCTATCTAGGGAAAGAAAATTATACATACATATTTTGCAATAAGTTGAATATAAGTGACTGGACAATATTTCCTAGAAGCACACGACCGGTTACATGGTTCCTGCCGCCCGCCCGGCATGTGTATCCGGTAATCTTGTCCAGTCATTCACATGCTACTTATTACGACATACATTTTTTACAATTAAATGGATGAGAACCAGGAGTAATGAAATGAAGATCTTTCCACAATCAGTTGTATAAATTACTCATTTTGGGGGTGTTTAGTGCCAACCGAGGACATTCAGAATTTACCGGTCTCCGACTGAACAACCGTGTGTAATCCGTGGGGGCTTGTCGTTCCCGTACGTAATAGAACCTATTTAGCGTTACTTTTAAATCATACTAGGGAGTTCTGAACAATAAACGGTGAAAAATCCGGTATACATTCGTATGCCTTGCTGGGTCTTGTGATTCATTCAGCTTAATGATCACTGTTTGTAAACGATATTATTCATCGGCATTTTTCGAGAGAGAAAGAACCATAGCACATGTTCGACTCTGTCGGACTAGATATTACAGTGGCACAGTAAAACAACCCTACACCCGTTTGAGGCGTTGGCACCATGCTTGTCTACAAGCCGGTGTTCAATATACATACCCGTTTGTTCAGAATCTTGGTTTTATCGATGGGGAACAAACAGATTACGAGCAACTATCTGTGGACAGGTTCTCTGAGCATATCTATCGGATTGAGGAATCTATGATAAACGTAAGGACAAATCTGTAATCAAAGTCGTGAAGCAAATAGGGACAGTAGCGTATTGAATATCGAGCTGGTTACTGTCAATCTGTTTTCGGTCGCTTTGATCAGCCGGAGAGGAAAGCATTTGTGATTATTATAGTACATGTAGTAAGCACACTGAATATGATTACCATACCATGCGATGGGTCCGGAGCTCAAATCCTGCACGGGACGATGGATATGTACTACTAATGGGCTCCAAAAAGAGCAAAACTTATGTCTAGTGCTTTCGAGTGTATGGTTGAATCGATGAACTGAGGAATGTGCATGAAGGTGAAGTCCGAAGGACAGTCAGTTCAAATCAATCAGTATCAATTATTCCACACCACTACTCACAAGTAACTATGAGTTAAAATGCGAAAAATCTTTCGTTTGTCAACTTGTTTATCAGTTTCTTACACAACGGTCAGCGTTTAGTTCCACAGAACACATACATAATGAAACAGACTGAAATAATCCGGCGTCGTGCTCAATGCTGTATTAGGCCGTTAGCTAAACCAGGAGATAACAGAGGCTGAAATTCAACGTTAAGATGCGATTGGTTATGTGCATATGCGAACACAAACCAGTGGCTATGCTCCTTGTTGGGACGATTAGATTTCATAATCGGGTTCACTGTGAGGATGCGAAAGGACAACTGCGAAAAAAGAAAGTGAGCAAGTCTGAGTGAATGTGGAATGAGTCAGATAAGTGGCTTCATAGGATAGTCCCATCAGATCCAGTGGCATATCTGAGTTCCTTGTTGATGATTCATACGTGAACTGCAAAATTTAGGAGAAAACATAACACCTGAGGCCATTAGTTTGCGTAGTTTGAGGACAAGATAGCAGGAAGCTTAGCTGAAGCACTGGAGCAAGTTAGCCAATGCATGTGCTTAAGACAGGATTAGCTAAGTGTGACCGGAATGGGTCAAAATAGACAGCCAACTGAATAATAATCAATCCGAGAGCAATTAGGTTATGAATATTCGGTTTTAGCCGTTATGGAAACAGGCATTTTACAGGCAGGACACTGACCGCCGCGATGTACTTGTGTGCGCACCAATTCTCCTGGTTTGCACTCCAGCACACGTGCATCGTGTACTTAGTTACCGAATTTAGCTAATCTTATCGGCAAACTCGAATCAATACTCAACATTTTTGCCGATTGGCCTCGGCAGTACAATATAATTAGTGCTGGAGTGAAGCCTAGTCTGTCGCTTATTGTTTCAAAAGCATTGCCATGCTCCTGCTACAATGAAACTACGGCCTCAGGCTTTGTCCGAACTAGCCTATACAACAATTTATATCCACATCTATGCTTCAGCATGGTGATGGGTTTATCGATCCATCTTAGCGAGACCTAGCATTTCTTATCCAACCGACTGAGGTCAGTCGTCGCTGTTCCTCAATACTCGCCTAAAGCTGACCCAATCAACGATTAAGAGCAAAGCGTTCTTCGTGTAAAACAATCAGATTCCATGAAAAAGTACTTTTGTTTGCCTACGGAAAAATCGGTTTGTTCCGAAAGTACGAGCGCTGTGATAGACCTGACCGAAACGACTGCTCATGCCCAGCACATGATTCGATTGTTTTTCAGTTTACACACCCTTGATCTTGCTTCCCTGCGCGCGGGCACACACGCAGTCTCCTTCGGTCTTGAGGTTTTCTTCAGTCATTTTGTTGATCAGGTTGTAATTGCTTTCATATGCCGCAACACCCGATTAGAAACTGAACTGTTGTGAACNTCGTTTTGTAACGGTCAGTCCCGTCCAGTATTGATTACCTGAACCTACCGGCCACACTCGCCTGTTCCCAGAACATCGCAACGCTATCGGTGTTGTAGTCTGCGCACAGATGCACACGCGCGTGCACAGATTAGAGGGAGACTGCGCGCGCGTGCACCAGCTACACAGCAATCAATACTACTGATATGTAATTTGCAACTGCTGATTGTATCTGCAGTGGTGAAACTGAGATTTCGACTGGGGCCTTTTAAAGATGACGACAGTCAAACCCTGGTAATGCCGCATCATCCAATATGTTCCTACATTTTAGCAAACCCAGACCAATCGTATACGTAATAACGTAGGTCCTGAAAATGTCATGTTGCCTCCATTGTATTTCAGATAATTACTCACTTGGTCGTTGACCGATGTAAGGTCAACGACTAGTCAAAATGCACAGAAGTACTCAGCCAGTGATACTCAACCAGTACGAGGATGGCACACACAGCAGTTCCAGTCAGTCATTTTATGTGACAACGTGTAGGCGCTTGTCTATAAGAGAGAAGCATGTGTTGAAAATGTTGAATCCGCCAGTTGCAAACCAGGATATTTCAAGGAAACTACACGATATCTCAGTGGTATAAATGGTAAAAGCCTACACTGCAATAACAACCCTAAAAAGTGAATGGATGACTTCTGTGTTGTTCCAAAGTTGGCTGTCTGATATCCACAAGGTAATTTCTCGAAGACGCTCTATTTAACCGATGATAGATATCACCCCTTACCACAAGAGTCGCAGCATTCCCGAATATCAAATTAGTATGGCTGCCTCCAAACTGTGCTTTAGTGTTACAACAAACATGTCAGGGTGTGATTGGGTCCCTCAAACGTTCATTTCGGTAACATCTACTGAGATGCGGTTTGTCTTTGGCAAAAGATGAACAAACCAACATAAGATTCGAAATGGACATTCACCTGATCAAAAAAGCTTAGAGCTCTGTGCATCCACACGTACTGACCTACCGCTGCAACCCCACATTGAATCAACCGGTAGTATAAACAGTAAATGATAAATACGATCTGATGGAACAATTTATGCAGTTTGTGCCTGGTGATGAGTGTCAGTTTGAAGAATTAAGTTGATCACTTAAAGCTGTATCAAATCTCACTTCTCTATCGCATGAACGTATCTGTGCAAAAAAGTGAATAACAATCGCGAGTAAGGCGACCTATGAAGTCAGATGTTGGATCTGTAGGTGATCGATAACCGCCGCCGCACTGACGCGCCTGTGCGAATGGATGAACGACAATCGCGGTTGTCCTTGCTAGAGCACTGACGAAATTGCACAAGTCACTGGCCAAAGGTCATCGTAAAAATACAAACTGGATTTGAGCGAGCACTTCTACTTCGTGAATCACGTGTTGAGCTTAATCAGCTACTAAGATCATGACTAATAACGGCGGTGCTGATGTCGACCAACGCTAGCCATAACGTATGGATCAACCGGTATTAGTATGCAAGAGCAACAACAAAAAACGAACGAATGGGCGTTTGGAAGAACTACGCTATTGATTTTCACATACACACCGAACGACGGAAGATTGGAATCTGGAAAAGAAGTCAATGTAATATGTAAACCCATCAACAGATATTTCACTTGTTTTCGATTACGTTGTACCTCTTGGATGCAGTTTGTCAAATTAGTTTGAATCGGCAACTGTGTTATTGTAGCCAAAACCGCCATGCCCTAAATTCTGGAATCACAGTTGCATCGTAACTGAACGGGAAATCATTAGAAATTGAGATTAGGTTATAAAAATTGCCTCAACGAAACGTAAGTAGTTTTGTATATATATACACTGGAAACTAAAAGGGGACTAACTGCAGAGTGCACAATGCTAATGCTAAGAGGAGGGCACCAAGAGAGATTTAAATTTATTCGATACACAAAGACCAAGTGAAACTGAACATTTAAATTGTGCTTCTATTAAATAGCAGGTGATAAAAACATGATGGGAACAAGTAACGTCGTTTTCATCGAGCCTGTAAATTTTGTCACCGATTTTTCGCTCTACTTAAAGTTATAAATAATTGA